ACACACACACACACACACACACACAGAGAGAGAGAGAGAGAGAGAGAGAGAGAGAGAGAGAGAGAGAGAGAGAGATGCGAACTTATTTGCTACAAAATGTTTTCTCTTTGCAGGGTGTACTGGAAGAACTTTTTGTCACCTTTACAAGCTCCTCCCTTCCTGTCGAGTGCTTCATGCCACATCTAATGCTTCTGCTCTCACGGCTTCCATGGAATTCCAGTTCCAGCACTTCAGATTTGGAGGACTCAGCAATCGTAAATCTGGACACGGAACTCCATTTTCTTGCAGGGTTCTTTACAGCAGAGGGTAAGTAATGGCATCGATAGCTGCCCTCTTGCCTGAGTTGTATGAGTTTATCAAATATGACATCCCCTCGTTTGCTGGCCCCTTCTCCGTCTCTGCGTACGGTTTACCAGGCAGTTCTGTTTAACGGGCCTTGGAGGACCGAACCCACGTAACCATATATGACAACATTGTTGACAGATATGTCACAGTTTAACGGTCCATGGAAGACTGAACCCACGTAACCATATATGACAACATTGTTGACAGATATGCTACAGTCTATGAAAATATATATTTTCATTGTGTGGTTAGATACTGAGCTGCTGAGTCTGAGCATGAAATCAAAAAGCCCATTCGTGGTTCTAATGGAGGCAGTTTCTGTATATGACTTTGTGTATTTGTGTGTGCCAATGCGCACACATTTTCTTCCTGGATGGGCCTTCTATTACATTGCCTGCATTTGTGTTTAAGGTAGTGAGGAAGTATGGAGACAACTTTCCCATCATGCTAGTTCCTCCGCTTAAGAAGAAAATAGATTCCAAAAGGTTGCTTTTTCGTTTTTCAAAATGTTACGAAAAACAAGTTTATTATTTGTTTTTCAGGGGAGATTTCTCTTCTGTGTGTGCACCATTACAACCACAGCAGTGTGCAGTTGTGTTGTGCAGCCCAATTTCGCGATGTGCGGTTGTGTTGTGCAGTGGACGCGTCACTGACACTAAACAATTTTATGAACTACGGCAAAGGCCCGTAGCATGTATCACCACAAAACCACAAGAGAAAAAAAGAGATGAAATTAGTAAATTACTGGCAAGGTGCATTGTGACGTCCAGGTTGTCCGGGTTTTCTGGACCGCGATCTGGAGCACCGAGTGCCTGCCCAATATCTGTCATATTAAGTTAGTCAAGGCCTGAAGGGGCGACAAATCCTACAATGATCTAAGGTTTACAGGCCGCAGGCTCTTTCCTTTCGATCAACCGGCATCTTTGGCCGTGCGATGTAAAACTCTATTTACATCGCAAGGCCAGCATTGGGCCGCATCGTTGTTCTCGTGGGCTGAGAGTCTGCCACTTTAGCAAGTTCTCGGTTGGGTGATTTTGGAGCGTGCGATGTGAATGTGGTTTGGTAGGTGTGCGATGTGGCTTTTCATTGTGGAACGTACAATGTAAAGATTTGGCCCGTGATTTGCCGTTGTCCATGCGATGTGCTTGCCCGTTTTGTCTTCTTCTTTCCTTTTCGTTTCTGTTTTCTTCTGATTTGTGTTTTTTTCTGAGTGGGGATCCGGGCCGCCCGGGTGGACCGGCAGGAACCCGGGGGAGGTCACGGGCGGCCTGGCCGGGCAGGGCACCCGGTTGGCGGCCGGGCCCCCCAGCGCACTCACCTGTCGGGTGATTTTGGACCCCCTTTGTGTGTGTGTGTGTGTGATTGATAGATAGATAGATAGATAGATAGATAGATAGATAGA